ACAGACTGTCACAGGCTTTCCCCACACAGACACACCCCCCCCGGCCGGGCTCCCCTCCAAATGCTGTCCTCTTTCCCACCCCAAGCTTTGTAAATTGCTCGAATGAAATGAATAAACTGGTAAACTCCCCAAACACTCATATCTCAGCACCTGACTATAACCCCTGTTAACATTTTCACGAATTTCCTCCCCATCTCTTTTCCTAAGCATAGGGTGTTTCCTTTCAACCTTGCTGTGACCGTAGTACACGTGGAATGTTGGATCATGCTTTTTTCCTTTAGCATCCTAATCATACAGGCATTGTCCCGTGTCATTGTCACACCTTCGATTAAGTACAGATCTGAGCATTTTGCCGACTGGCCCAAACCTCTGCTGGCTCCACCACTGACCGCAGGATCGAGACCTTCAGCATTTGGCCCTAGCTTACCTCCTTCCACGCGTCCCTTGCCACTTCCTTCCCAAATATGTGATATACTTCGGTCACGTCAGACCGTTGGTCATTCCCAAACTACACACTTGCTCATCTACCTGTCTTTGCCCATGTTGATCTCTCTGCCAGGGAGAACCTTCTAGGCCTTGCTGCCTGGTGAAACTGCCTCCCCCGCCCCCACTGCCTTTTGTCCAATTACAGCAGTCCAGCCTTATCCATGGGGGAACCGTTCCGAGGCACCCTGTGAATGCCTGAAATTGATAGTACTAAAACCCTATATATATTCTATGTTTTTTCCCGATACATACACACCTATGATAAAGTTTAAACATTAGGCACAGGAAGGGATTATCAACAGTAACTAATAATAAAATAAAACCATTTTAACAATACATACCGTACTAAAAGTTATATGGATGTCCTCTCTCATAACTGAGGTGGCTGCTAAGTGACTAGCGGGCAGGCAGCCTGTGCAGTGTGGGCAAAGGGGGACAGCTGAGATTTCATCACGCTACTCAGACTCACAATTTAAAACTGATCAATAGCTTATTTCTGGAATTTTCCATTTAATATTTTTGGACTGTGGTTGACCACGGGTAACTGAAACTAAGGAACGTGAAACCATGGCTAAGAGGTGACTACTGTACCACCTTCCCAGCTGGAATGAACGAGTCGCTTTCCTACCCAGGCTCTTGGTTCACACTTCTGGTGCAGCATTTACCCAACTGTCCTGGGTCTCTATGTGTCCCTGTTAGACTGAGCTCCTTGAAACACGGGAAACAGGTGCTGCGCACCTTGGTGCCCAAGTTCAATGCCTTGTTCAAAACAGGTACTCGGGGAATGATAATTGAATTAAATCATCTACCCATGTGAAAAACACTTAGCCTGGAATAGATACAAAGAGGCATAAAGCGCCCTGCCCTGCGAGATAACTGCAGTCTCACTAATTCATAATTGTGATCATTCCTAATCACTTACAATTACTAACATGAGAATGAGGCCAGCCCTGCCCACCCAATAGGTAAGGACAGAGGCAGGAGACGAATGAATCACTAAACATTTCACGAGTGAATAGAGATTAGAATGGTAGTAACTACATTTGTTGAGGAAACTTGCCTAAGGCCACGCAGTAAGTAGTACAGTTCCCAACCCTTGGCTGTCAGTCTTTTGCAGCCAAATAGATTGCTTCTCCCCTAGATGACCCATCCTAAATTATTATCCAGGGACGATGGGAGGGTGAACTGGCCGGACAGAATCCCCTGTAGAGCGGACTGGAATGCAGCCAGGAGCTGGAGACTGTGGCTCGGAAGCCCCCACCCCAACCTCCCCGCCTGTGGCCTGGGCATGTGAGCTTGGGCTGGGACCCAGGTGGGGTCCTGAACCCCCAGCTTCACCGGAGACACCTGTCCGGCCCCTGGCGGGCTCCCAGGAGTCTCCGGGCGAGCAGACGGGCCGGCACGGAGCTGAGCGCGCAGGGCGCAGGGCCCAGCAGGGTCCTCAAGCCTGAAGGCTCCGTGGCGATGTCTTCCGGCCCAAAAGCTCCTGGAGGCTCAGAGCCCTGGGACCCGCTAGAGGTAAGTGACCCACAAAGGGGGTGCAACCATCCTGGGGGAAACAGGTGCCGCCTGGTGGAGCCCAGCCAGGGGCTTGCCTTTGGTCACGGGTCCCCCGGGGGCTCGGGGACTACAGCGGTCGAAGCAGAGGCCAGTGGGGGCCTGGCCACTTCCTAGGGAACAGGCTTCTCCTGGCGCTGGAGCAGCGGGGCTCGGGGCCGAGCCTGGCCGGCTGCGTTTGACACAGGGTGGGCGCTGGTCCCTGCGGCAGGAAAGGGGCTTTTGTAGGTCCCCACCGCACCCCGGACCCCTGCCAAGGCCCCAGATGCGGGACCAGGAGGCCAGCCGGTGGTGCTGAGCGGCCAGGAAGGGCCCCCAGGTCTGTCGGTGGTCCCCGGAGGCCCTGCCGCGGCCCTGCGGTTCCTCGGTGCCAGGTCCTGCGCGCGCGCACTGTGACGAGTGAGCCGCGAGGGCCTCCTGAACCCGCTGGGCGTGGCCACGGGCCACCAGGGGCAGCCTGGCAGGTGCTCCGTTACACCTTAGATGGAAAGAAGACAGACTCTTTCCCAGCTCCCGAACCAAATCTGATCACAGATGTGGCCCTGGCGTTGTTGCCTTCAGGGTGAGGGCCATGCTCCCTAACAGGTCAAGGGGGCCGCCCTGCATGATCTGGGCCTCCCTGCTCAGCACCCACCACCTACCTGCAGTTCCTACCTGCAAGCCTCCACTTAACCCAAGTCCACTGCCCTTTGCAAGCTGCCTCTTCTTCATCTTTCAAAATCACCTCCTCTGGGAAACTCTCATGTAATTATAGGAACTGGGACAACCCCCTCCTCTGTGTCCCCACCACGCCTGGGACCACACAGGCAACACCACCTTTTACCAGCTCTCGTCCCATCTGGCTGTCAGCCCCTTCAGGAGGGTCCCCGCCTTTACTTTGTGTTCCCAGGATTAATGAAGCTCTGTGAGCAAGTCCCCTAATTTCTCCGTGTCCTTCAAAAAAGGCAATAATACCTTTCTTCTGAGATGTAGGAATCTGTAAAGAAGCCACAACTGTGATTGTGCCCTCATTATCCTAGTTAGCTTCAGAACTCTTGGGAAGCAAAATGAGATGATAACAGTGAAGATGTTTCAGGAATTTAAAAGTGCTAAAGGAACGCTATCACTGTCACTCCCAGCCATGTCCCTTACACAGTCCCCACAATGCACCCCTCTTCTTCTCTCCGAGAAGCCCCGAATAAGAAGGGATTCCACAGGCACCTCTGTTCTTCCCTCTCGGGATACCCAACCTCAAAGACCTCTCTGGTGCTTTTCCTGCTCAGTATCTTCCCCTGGTCCTGGTCACCTCGCCTGAGAGACGCCACAGCCTGCCTCTCTTGCTTGGGTCTCCTGGTCCTGGAACTGCAAGTTCAGTGGCCCCATTCAAGGAGGGAGGTTGACGGTGACGCAGTCCTTCTCCCAAACCCAGCCAGCCTGGCAGTGTAGGGGGCACTCCCTCTTTGCAGAAGTGGCCATTGATTGCCACCCCAGGGGGCTCCCCTTTTTTCTGGCCCCTCTCTGGCCCTTCTCAGAGGACCCATGGGCCCAACCCTGGGCTACTGCTTGTGAGACACCCTCTTCCACCTCCCAAGCCCTGAAGACCCCAGGATCGTGGTAAGAACTGGCTCAAAGCACCCATACAGAGAGAAAATAGAGGCGTGTACCTGGCTTGGGTGTCACCTCTACAGTCACTTCCGAGGAGGGAGTATTGATGAGCTTAGGGAGCGCTGCCGACGGCCGGTGTCCAACGGAAGGGTCTGCAAGTGAAGCGCCAGAGCGTGAAAGGACACACAGCTCCCGCAGGTCTGCCCCACCACGCACTGCTGAGCCCGCCTCCATCGAAGTAACCCAATTCAGGAGGATGCAGGTGTGGTACACCCACCACCCGTGCCAACCACGGGAGAGGTACTTTCACAACTTCTGTTCCCCACAGCAGCTCTTCAAGGGAGGAACTATCATCCTTATTTTACAGAATAAGAAATTTCTTTTGGAGGTGAAAAACGTGTCCTACACGTAGATAGTAGTGCTGATTGGACAGCCCTGTGAGTGTGCTAAAACCCACTGAATCAGACACTTCAAAAGAGTGAATTTTAAGACATATGAATTATATCACAACAACGCTGTTATGAAAAGGAAGGGAGGGAGGGAGAGAGGGAAGAGAAGGAAAGGACAAGGCCTGCTGCTGAGGAGACATTCATAAGATCCGAAATCAGCAGCTGGCCTCTGGCTCCCGTGCATTCACAGTGACAGTAACGATGGCAATAGCTACTATCCGTTGTGTGCTTACTCCATGCCAGGGCCTCTACTAGGTCCTGTCTATCATCCTCATTTAGCCTTCAAAGCCATGCTATGAGGTAGGTGTCATCAGTCCCATTTTGTTACATCTGTTTTCCCAGCGAGGAAAGGAGGCTCAGAGACGCTGCCTGGCTTGTTTCTAGCAAGTGGTCAAGTCTGTCTGATTCCAGAGCCCACACTTCCAACCACTTCGTTGCCCACTAGCTGATTCCCATTGCTAATTGCTAATGCCCTGAGGCTGGCCTGGGTCATTCCATTCTTTAAAGATCTCCTGAGTGAAACACTGCTCCAGAATCAGGTATCCTGAGTCTGGAAGTGCTTCCTCAGGTCTGTCCTCAGTGTCTCCCGCTGCTAAGCAGATCCGTTTCCCATCCCGTTCCAGCCTTGGTCGGCCGAGGGGGGGCCAGCAGGGAGGACGGCCACGTACCATAGAAGCAGATGAAGGGCTGCAGCGAAGAACAGACCACGGCGTAAACTCGGGGGTAATAGTTGGCGTAGGTGCGGACTCCTGCACACAGTCCTACCCCCAACGTGGGCACCTTCAGCCAGGGCGGGATGCTGACACCCAAGTCGCTGGACCAGCTCAGAGACCTGGAGTCCGCGTGGAAGTAGAGGCCAATCCAGGCCTCCGTCTCACTGGTGATGGACTTCAGGACCTCCTTGCCTTCCTGCTCGGTCACCGTCTGCAGGTCGGCCAGGTCCGTGTGGTGGCTGCGGCAGTACCGCAGGGCTGCCAGCCACGTCATCCCCTGGTCAAACCGCTTGAAGGTCAGTTGGCCAATCTGGACCTCAGCTGGGGGCAAGGAACACAGAGGCCACACGTCTGTGACTCGAAACAACAGAAGTTTGGGGAGGACGCGATTTGGCACCACCTGAGGCATTGAGCCCAGAGACCCAAGGAAGGAAAGACCTCCGTTTGCAGAATTGGGAGCCACATCCTGAGATTCCGGTGGGGCCTCCCAAACTTTCTGGCACAAGCCTGTTCCCCGAGGCCCGTCAAGATTTGCCTGCCATGTCCCTCCTTTTCCCTGTCTAAACCGATTTTTAAAGCTACCCTTTCTTAAGCGCCTAGTACTCACAGGTCAGCTGCATCATCTTTTTAAATTCCCACAGTAATCCCGAGAGGTAGATGCTGCTAACTTCACCGGGAGGTGATGACGTGCCCAAACTCGCCCTATGAAGTGGCAAGGCCAGGGTCCCAGGCAGGTCTGCCTGCCCCAGAGACTGTCACTTTCACTCTGCAACCCCATAGTCACAGCATGCCGGAAACCAACCCCACGAAGCAGGCCGACGGGGGAGCATACTTCCTTTGTCATAGAATTCCTCTACACTAGACATGAAGGGAAACATTTTTTTTTTTAATTTCGGGGCAGTGATATCCAGAGGAGAAAACCCGCCTTCACCAGATGGATGGGCATGGGCTGTGAGTTGATGCTGCTTCTGTCCCCAGCCCCCCAGCCCGCCACTGAGGTGAGGATATCGGAACAGCTGGGACGCAGCCTGGGCTCTGCCTGATTGGAGACCTTGATCAAGTCACCTCCCTCTCTGAATAAGTGCATTGACACTCTCCAGGAGTTTTAGCCTGGAGGCAGCAAAGCCAGGGGATCCCTCAGCCAGGTGGAGGGGTGGGGAGCAGGGGAACCCAGGTGTAGTAACCCAGCCAGCTGGTCTGGTGGCTGAGCTCCTAGGTGCGTACCTGGCTCTGGAGAGGGCGTCAGGCTGAAAGGGGGCTCCACGAGGTTTGGACGCACCGTGTCAGGGTCTGTAAAACAGAAACAGCGTGTCGTGGGCAGGAGCGGGTCTGCCAGCATGCTGTGCAGGCACCGGGGACCGCGGAGCTGAAGCTGGGAGAAACCTAGCTCAAGGTTAGATGGGCTCCTTTGTTCCTATTTACATATATTATGTATTGGGTTGTCGGAAAAGTCGTGACGTATTTTTTTCTATGTTTTTCGCTGTAAAAATGCGTCATGACTTTTCTGACAATCCAATGTGTGTGTGTGTGTGTGTGTGTGTGTGTGTGTGTGTGTGTGTGTATGAGAGAGAGAGCGCGCGTGCACTCTCTCCTGTTGCAGGGCAGATGCTATTCTAGGCCCTGGGAAAACAGCAGAAATGGATGAGCAGGATCGTTGCTCTTGAACAGAATATGAGGAGGAGCCTGCCTTGCAAAGAGGTCGGAAGGAAGACCCCAGCCAGTCAAAGGCTAAGCTCCTCAGGCGGGAAGGGACTGCTGGGGTTCGCCGAGTGGAAAGCAGCCTGTGTGGCCAGGGAGAGAAACAGGAAGGAGGCCACACAGATCAAGCAGGGACTGGCTGGCTACAAAAGGGATGTGATTCTGCGTGCGGAAGGGGCCTGCCCAATGTGTTGAAGCAAAGCGGTCTGGTTGAGGTTTTCGAGAGTTCACACTATAGAGAACAGACTGTAGGGGGGGCAGACCCCAGGGAGGAGGGTGCGCTGGTGTGAGGACCGGCAGAGAAGGGAGGGCTGGGTGGAGTCAGGACCCTCTTGGCAGAGGCCTCAGATGCACCTCACACACAGCCCTTCCTTGGCCGGGCTCCCACCCTGGCACACTGCTCCTACTGGCTTTGGAACCCCGAGGTCGAGGCAGGGCCACCGTGGGCTACATTTCAAGGCCCTGTGACAGGCGTAGTGTGGTAGAGAATTGCAGAACTTTTTGGGTTGGTCCTCCATGCCTCTATCTGAGGAATTGGGGTGGTATAGAGTTGGACTGGTCTTGGCTGACAGAGGGCACTTCTTTTTTACCAGGAAAATGCTCTCTGGTCTTGAACCATCTCCCTTTGTGTCTCAGACCAGGGTCAGTGTCACAGGCCACCTGGGGAAGAGAAAGGGCCGCTGGGGACAAGGATGGCCAGTGCCATGTATATTGAGTACTGATGGTGGATTTCCTGCAGAGATGCCCCAAGGAGCTGGCTGCACCCACCTCCTCCCTGGAAGCAGGGGGTCTCCCAGAGAATGGCTGTTCGGCCTCCCACACCCCCCTGAGACAAAAACACACTGCTTTTTGAGAAGGCGAGACACGTTGAATTCTGCTCGCATTTCTGCATAGATGCAACTGAGTCCCCAATCTGTCTTTCTCCTTTTTTCTTCCCTGTCTTTTCTCTCTTCCCCTGAACCCTTAATTGGCAGGAGGGGACATAGTAGAATCTTCCACGTGTCACTTTTTCTCGACCCTGATTTACACCCATTTCTCTAGATGGACTCTGGGGAAAGAGGGACAGAGGAGATAGAAACTAAGGCCAGCCGAGAGGAATGTGGAGAAAAGGGCTAAGATAACAGCCAGTCATTCTGGAAAGACATGGGCTGGTGAGTGCTCTCGCTGTCATGTGCTCTTGAAAAGCAATCCTGGGAGGAAGACCAGGCCCCGAACATGACTCTGCACACACCATAGTAGCAGATGAAGGGCTTCTGAGCTGTGCACGAGGCGGCCCCCAGGCTGGGGACAATGACCACGGAAAGCAGCGTGGCACAGATGCCCTCCTTGAAGACGGGCAGCGCGCTCCACTTCGGCGCGGAGAAGATGGAGCCGCTGGACCATCGCAGGCCGTGAATGCGCACGTCAAAGAAGAGCCCGATCCAAGCCTCGGTGCTGCTGGTGAGGGAGTAGAGGCTGCTGACGCCGGCCACGCTGTTCATGCTCTGGAGGTCGGCCAGGTCCGTGTGGTGCTGCCGGCAGTACTGCAGGGCCCCCAGCCAGCTGAGCTGCTCCTCCACCCTTGAGAAGGTCTTGCCGCCGCTCACCAGCTGCAGGGCTGGGGGAAGAAAGGCTGTCACTGCACGGCCACCTCCACCCCACAGCCTAGTCCCCGAAGAGCTGTCAGCCGTGCCCCAGGCAGCCTCCCCAGCCTCTTCCCTACCGCTTGGCCCCTCACCGCTGGCCCTTCGGTTGTCCACAGCTCTGCCTCCGGGCCTTTGCACAAGCTGCTCTCTTGGCCTGAAGGCCTGGCCATCCCCACCCGCTCCCTTATTCCCCTCACCTCCCCTTCCCTTTGCCCAGCTAACGCCTCACCCCTCTGCCCCATTCTGGGTGGGTGCCCTTCCTGTGTGCTGCAGTGCCCCCTGGTTCGTGTTAACAATACATAGTGTTTGCGGAGCACTTGTGATGGGTCCTGAGCTGACTGAATCCTTCCAACAACCCTGTCCCTGGGCCTGTTTGACAGCTGAGGAAACCAAGTAACAGAGAGTTAAGTGACTTGGCCAAACCCACCCAGTGGGGAGGGGCAGAGCCAGGACCCAGGGACCGTGGGTGGGGCTCCCGCGCCCTTAGTTACCGGTGGTGGTGGCGGGGTGATACTGCCCTCACATAGCCGCCTGGGGCTCAGAACAGGCTGTACCTTAGAATCACCTGGGGAGCCTTTCAAACACACCGATGCTCAGGCCCTCCCTACAGCAAGGTACCAGATTTGCTGGGACCAGCATCAGAATTTTCTAAAAGCCTCCCAGGGAAAGGACCTTTTTGCTCGTGTGTGCCCTACCGCCAGGTCCAGGCAACTTGGGAGCGACAAACAAGCTGTATTCATTATATTCCCAGCGCCCAGCACATCAGAAGGGCTTGATGTATTGAAAAGGAAGGAAGGAGAGAAGGAGGGAGGAAGAGAAGGAGGGAAGGAGGGAGGGAGCAAGCAAATCGAGCTTCCCCTGGGAACCGCCCCCATGCCCCAGGAGCTGACTGCCGCTTCCTTACTGACTACGACTTTGCTGGGTCCCAGCAAACCAGGGCTGGCTGAGGGCTACTCTGCTCTGCCCAGGTCCTGCTGTGCAGAGGACTTGGGAGGGATGAAGGGCCTGGGGCCAGGATCTTACAGGGTTCTAGACTTAAGGAACCAGCCTCACACCAGATGCCCAAGGACAGGAAGCTGAGAAGAACAGGGCGCAGAGTGCCCAGCCCGTGGCAGTGCGGGGAGGACCGGGAGAAGGACCCACAAGCACTTGCTCAGAAGCCCGAAGCCCCTCACACCCACCAGAGTCCAAGATGCTGTCTGGTGCTGACACGAGCTGGAGGACCCCTGGACCG